GTAGCTTATATGTCTATATTGTACAATTATTATTACTTTTATGTCGGTTCAGCCGAGGTATGCAGTGTATCTACGTAAGACTTTCTACATTTTTACCATAACAATTGACAATTGAAAGTAACGTTTAAGTAATGAAGATACATTGACTGACATATTAATCCTAATGTATTACGGAACCATTTGTGTGTCTAACTTGGTAATTCCGATAGTGATTCTTATATTTCAACATGAATCTAGCGGGCGGTACCAGTTCACACGACCCCGTCGCCCTGCACAAACACAATGCTCGTTATTCAACCGTGTTTTCCTCATACCACATGGCTTTTCCTAAGCTTTTAACGCTGACGACAAATAACTGGAAAATACTACAAGATTCAGATGAAGACGGCCTTGCGTGTCTGATGATACAATGATATTAAAGATTTATTTTTAGATTTTCAATTGATTGTTTTATAGAAGGGTTAAAACGAGCTATTTCCCACGATGGGAAAGTACCTTGGGATAACCATCACAATCGTTGTGCTAACCTTTAAGTTTTAAGATTTAGGGGCTTAATTATTTTTGGAAAACGTGGAATAAGTCACGAATCCCTCTTTTTTATAGCATTATTTCTTCTCCCTAATTACACTTCTATTCCATATGAAGGTTGATATTTAAAACTTATGTTTTTAGTTACGTAGGAACGAACCGGCGAGAACGGAAGCAGTTAATTCAGGCTAAAAGATATTACATTTTGCTGCTACCGAGTGTTTTAGCGGATTAAGTGAATGTACCGAGAGATTAACTTGTTAAAATCGTCAGTCAAGATTTGCCTTTTGACTCTTTTCTTAAGACGAAAGAATGGGAAGGAAAAGTGGATTTGACGGTGGAGGAGACGCGTAGGAAGGGTACATGTCCTCTTTATGTACGTCTCCTCCGTCAATTAAGGGAAGGCAACTGCAATTAGGGATGTTTAGGGGCAGCTGTCGTTTTCCATTTCGGTGGATTCAGGTGGCCGCTTGCTCGTGTGTCACCTTATATGATAAAAAAAGGCCTGATTTATTTGCATTATCATTTGAATGCTATTCTTTTCTAAAAACAAAGTTTAGTAGTTATTACGAATTTGTTATTTGTATTCTTTAGTGGCAAAAATCTATAAGTCCGATGACTTCGAATATTTATTCAATGCGACGCACGAGTTATTGTTATGTTAAACAGTTATTGTAATCATTACTTTGGCAGACGACGAAGGCCGAGTTCAAATCTTTGTAGTTTATATCTAAATATGTCAAGAACTATTAAAAATACTAACTTATCATATTAAGTTCCTAAAAATAAACTATAAGTAAACTTAACACATTGTCATTCCAAAATGTTGAATTTCTTTTTAAACGAGATAATGACCACATGAAAAAAGGATAAAACGATGCATCTTTTTACCGTTAAGTCCATGTAAAGAAAGTAGTTATCAAGAAAATACACAAAGTAAAGCTAGTTAAGGAAAGACATGTCTACTTACTTCTTACTAATATTATAAATGCGAAAGTTTAGAATTCTTAGCCTAAACTGCTAAACGGATCTCGATAAAATTTGGCATAGATGTAGAGTATAGTCTGGAAGAACACATAGGCTACTCACTATTGCTTTTTTGATTCCACGCGGGCGGAATCGCGGGCGAAAGCTAGTAACCTAATAAAACTTAACAGTTGTCATTGTTGAAGTTTTTCCGAACTTCCAGATTTCTAATTGTCCATCTAGTATTTCTAATTGGCGTTGAACTATTCTATTATCACAAAAAAGCTTTGCAATAAAATTGTAAAAGTGTAAAAAGTTTCAATTAAAAAACACTTACATAATTTTTAGATACCGTTATAAAAGGATGGCATCTTGAACGCCAACTTCCACTCTAGTACGGTAAATCATTGGTAAACATAATAAATCATTTTATATCAGCTACATGGATGTTACTCACGCAAGGATTACAGTTATTATGTCCATTCCAGTGATCTCATTTTAAAATATGGTAAATAATAATTAAAGCTATTAATAAATATACGCGTTGACGCACCTTCCAGGGATTAACTTAAGGTTCTTTTTATAAAACTACTAACCTAGCTTTAAAATTATTAATACTGCCAAAGGAATCGAATACATTTCTGCCAGCTACTTTACTAATTAAGTTACTAAAATAAAAAAGACATACAGACGAATGGAGTACCTCCTTCTTTTGGGAAGTCGGTCAATAAAGTCCACAAACCAAACTAGCAAATTATATTTAGAAAATGTTGGAAACTATAGTTCAAAAGAGGTAAAGAGGAAACTAGACAATCTATCTATAGAGACAATTTCTAGGCACTCTACTTTTTAATTTAAGCAGGATAAGATCCCATACTAAGATTCACTATTTACTGTGCGAATGTCGTTATAAACAAAATTAAAGTTAATTACGAATAATTGTCAATTAACAATGCGTCCGTCGGTACATACCCCATAAACAGTCGAAGTATTTCCCCACAAGATTTCTTGCATTCTATTATTGCATCAGTGCATTTATTACTACGATACATAGAACTTGTTACGCTTATTTTAATTATTATTATTTACTTGTTTACTTTATTAACTTACGACCGCGTCATAAAAATGACGTAGCAATTTAATTCAGTAATTTGTTGTAGAGTGATAGATTGTATGAAAGAGGATATGCTTAAGAAAGGAGTGGATTCAGATATGACGGATGATAGAGATGTATGGAAGAGCAGCACATACTGTGCCGACCCTCCATAAGGGATAAGTTGATTATGATTTGTTGTACAGTTGATTCAATTATGTCTAGAGGAAAAAGTATGTTATAGAAGTAGTGTATTTTCCTGTTATTGTATTCTTATCTGAAAATGGAGAGTTTATCGATAGAATAGAAATAAGGAATTAGAGTAAACAACAAGACGCTTTTTACGTCTCAATCAATGCCAATATTCGAATAGGGACTAAGCAAGAAAAATCTAACAATTAAAACAATGTGTAGGGCTCCTATTTAAGGGCAGAGAATATTATAGATGTCGATAAATTATTAAAGAGCGGCAGATTAAATGTCCAGAAATGGACAGATCATCTCTAACTAAGGATAGTGCAGAACAACTTTTTGTAGAGGAGCTGACATCCCAGTACAAGTACCGGAAAAACAATTCTTAAGGTTTTTGCAGTGATTTTATATTTTAATCGGCACAATTGCTATTATAAAGCTATTATTGTAGCGTAGTTCGCGTAGTGTACAGTTCTGTATAACAATGGCAGTCAGGTGCGGCGTTTTGCGTAAATACACGGTTATGTATTGCGTGCACGATCTCAAGGTCGATAGTCAAGTGCTCATAGCAACTACAACTAGATACAATGAATGTCTAACAGGAAATCATAGACTACTTATAAGAAAACTGAACTGAGGGAGTCAATAACGGTGGGTTCACATTGTTGGTGTGTCTTTTTTTAAAAAACAAAGTTTAATATGAAACTGTATACACAGAATAGTTAGTCATGTCTATCTTTCATGAGTGTGCTCCTTTGCGCAATGAACATGTCTTATCAATAACTGCTCTTGTAAACAACCTTCATGTATCTTTGAAACTACATCCAACAGTCGTTTCAACTGTCAAAATATGTGTATAAAAACATAATGTGATCCCTCTCATTGTCCTTGGAAAAAATACAGCAATATCTTAATATTATAGTAAATGCAAAAATTTTAATGGATATATATTTATTGAAAGGCAAAATCGTTTAAATACAGACCACTGTCTGGAGGATCACAAAGGTTGCTTAACCTTGAAGCCTGTCTTCTGTGTGATCGTGGTACTGCTGAAGGGCGAGCTGGCCCCACAATCCGATGTTAAAGTGAGTTCTACCAGTGTTAATCTAGCATTTAACACAAGTGTGACGGCAGAGTAACTTAATGTTCATATTTAGTGTGCTTTTCTCTTTAATCCCATGGCGTGCTGTATATTTCTATTGTTTTTCGTCCTTCAATATCTCATTGATATGCATTCGCTTTAGGATTGTGATTACTGTCTGTGTGAAAGGAATTATTAATTTGTAGGCAAGGCCAGCTGACCTACTGCCCTGATGCCCTCTAAATTATCTGGGACCTAATTGACAATTTGTACAAGATTATCGTGAGTATCAACTATTGTATCACCCCCATAAAAACATACTTTCTTTGTGTTTTTGGATAAGAATGAAATAAACAGACAACAAGAAAATAATATAAAAATCATCAAATAAACAATATAGAATAATAAGAATTAGGAATATGAGAAAACTGTATCGCAAAGAAGATCTATTATATTTTTAGATACTCGTAAAAGAATAAACGTAAAGCGAAGGGTTTTAATGATCTTATTCTTCATAATAAATAGCAAATCACAGTTTCTAATTAATTGCTAGTCTCGATAGCAAGGCGCGATTTTATCACCAAGAAATGGTAATCACACTACGAATGTACTTGAAAAGCTTCCGCTGAGAGTTCTAGAAACCGATATTAGTTTTATCAGATTCTATTAATGTTGTAATTATTGTGTAATGTGTTAACTTTATCATAGTTTCACATACAACTAATATTTTAATGAAAAGTCAAAACAAACTGGGTTGCTCTACTTAGAATGTTTCATGTTCTGAGATATTTTAAGGTTATATCTAGCTAATGATTAGTTTCATGTCGTGTTCCCTAATTTAAGTATGGTCAGCAAAACATTACCACAGTAAGCACTTCTTTCTTGGTCACACTATCAAGTTCCAAAGTTACTTGCGGCTGAGATTCATTTAATACTGGCGACTAATATACAATACAAAATTATACAACGTATACTATTATTCTGTGAATACGTTATGGAATAATGCTCTAAAAAGAAGATCGTTTATTGTGTAAAATTGAAATGTTGATTTAACGTAGAACATTTTCTTGATAGCATGATTAATAGTGGAAATAAACCTAAGTCTGTAACGTCAACATGTCCAAAAAATGAATCACTCACTTGGTCGTATTTTGCTGCGGTTTTTTCCCACGCCATCGAAGTATGCAATCAAATGTTCCTCTTCGAAATTGTGGTTTGAGCATCTTCCATCTCTTCTTTCCGTCTAAACTTTTCGCATCACTGACCTGTTCACTTGAATTTAAACAGGAGTCACTAAGCATATCTGGTTCGGAACTACCTTTTTTTAGTTTATCATCAACACTAAATGAATATTTACTACACTTTTCAAAACTGATCATCGACACTGTATCACAGGGGGGGCAAGTCCGCCTATTAGACAAAGGAGTCGAAGTGACAAAATTTGATTTATGTCTCAACACCACATCGCTGTCTTTAAAGTCCGACAAATCGAAATCGTCCTCGCATATGCTGTGCAGTTTTGGCCTCGTGTCGGAGACCGTCTTCGAGTTTATTATACTATTCTCTTGAAAATTCTTGCTCTTCATCGTGTGTCCGAAGTCAACGAACGCAGTGATATCTTCGCAACTCTTCGCGTTGTATTTATTTATACTAAACCTAGTCTGTCGTTTGATATCTAGATTAGGTTCATTATGAACCTCCATAGTACCCACGGTTACTAAATTATCTTCACTTTTAGATGGTTTCAATTTGGCGAAAATCTTCTTGTGTCGTGCTGGGCGCGTCGGAGGCGTCAGGGTCTGTTCTGCAGTCGCGTGCGATTGCTCTGCGGACCTATTTGTTTTGGAATACTTTGCGATAATTCTGTTTATTTGAGCGCTGTTTTTGCGCCTGTTAGCGCGTCTGTGGAAGTTGAGTGGGTCTTGATAAGCGTCGGGGCGGGCGCGGCCGGCGACCCGGGCCGACCTCTCGCGCCATTCCGTCACTTTGTCTTCGATCAGCCGCTGCAGCTCGAGCGCCCGCATCATTGGCCCTATTTCTGGCATTGTCTTTGTTTTACTATCAACTAATATATTTAATAATCACTAATCGTTCGACATTGCGCCGCTTGCTGTTTTATTCCGAAACGTTTTTACCTGTAACAAGATGTTTCAAGTTTACATATGTCCCTGAAACGATTACCAAGAAACTTTAATATAATTTGTTTTTTAATCTAAAAGGACAAATTTGTTTGTGTTTATATCTACTTTACTTCGGATAAGTTTTTTTATTATTACAGTGGCCAGTATTTAAATTAATACGACTGACGTCAGAAGTCAATGAGTAGTGTTATGAACGTTTTAATAAACAAATGTTTAAGTCATGGATAGGGCATACAGATATCGTTTATTACATTTAACTATTATTTACACCGAAATAAGGTTAAATACGTGGAACAAATAATTTAAATTTTTCCAATAGGAAAGGATTCATGTTGTGTAGAAATATTACAAGTAAGCAATCGAGTACTGATAATATTAAATTATGTCAAGTGCAGAAATCGATGCAAGGTTATTGATACCGTTTTCACTGCAGAAACATACATTTGAATTTATTGCTGTCTCTAGTTTCTGAAACAGAACGAAAGAGATGTCAACATGTTTGTTACAAGAGATTCGAGATACTTATGAAAGTTAGATAAAACCATTTCGCTAATGAGCGAATTACATTCCACTTTAACATTGATAGAACACGTGTAAGTCGAACCCAACATAAAGCAATAAACAGAGATTCGCTTAATTAGGAGATTATTCTAAGAAGCTCAAGACTGTCTAGCACGTGCGCTGCCAAAATTGAAGTAATTTATGAGTCAGACTAGCTACAATAACGGAATTAGTTTCCTTATATACATATAACTATAGATCTCTTTCAAATAACGTAGTTTTTATAAGACATAAAAGAGACGTAATCGGCTTAAGAAAAGTAGCCGATTTAAATATAGCCTGTCAATAAATTGCATTTTAAATAATCTAATTGCATATTTGCCATATTTTTGTTGCAGGCATCAAATTGTTACTAAAAGTTCTGTTACATTTTTTTAAACTATGGCAATATATTTCTTCACTTCTTAATTTAATACTTATTATGGTACTAGAATATTAAGTAAATTTGTTTGTGTTAAAAAATTTAAATTACTGGAAGGCTCCTATTGTTACCAGCTAGTATGTAATTAGTGAAAATGTGTACTACTAGCTTTCGCTCGCGACACCGTCAGCGTGGAATTAAAAAAAAACTAAGTAGCCTATGTGTTCTTCCAGACTATGTTCTATATCCATGCAAAATTTCATCCAGATCCATTCAGCCGTTTAGGCTACAAACTCTAATATACATCTATCCATCCATCTATCTAAACTTTCCCTTTTATAATGTTAGTATGATTATATTTTGAAAAATTATTATTTTAATTTAGTAAATAAGATTGTTGTGCTATAAAAACTTTACGTATTGCACTATGTAAATGTGAACCTTCTCGTTCCGCCGCTTGCTTACGGAGGATGCGATTGTCCGATTTCTAACATCGGCGGTTGGATAACGTCCTTCCGAAGTGAATTACTGCGATACCTTCTGCATCCGCCCGAGTCGACCTTGTCTATAAGTACATATAGGTTCTTTCAACATATGTACACGAGTTTTTGTAACTTATAAGAACAGAAATAACTGTTTTATATATATATTACGTATAGTTAACTAACTTATGACCAGTTTCCCAGCTACGTTTAACCAATCGTTAGTGTTTTGGTTCAATAAATTCATGGAAATCGTTTCCGAACTTTACTCAGTTGTAAGATAGGTCAACCTGACACTAATGAATCGCTAGGTAATGACAAAATAAGTGGAAACATCAGAGACCCAGCGTTAGTAGCTTATGATAAGCAATAGTGAATTTAAAGAAAAGAAAAAAAATAATCATATCGATGAAGAATACGATTCTAATGCCCTGAAAATGGCTCCACTACAATAGTTCAAAGAGTAGGTAAAGCAGAATACCACAAAATTAAAACAGATTCTATTTGAAATTGTCTGGTTCGGTAAAGAACTGTACTCGGACATATTTGAATGCTAATTTTAAAAGAACCCATAGTCTTCTGTTAGTTTAAAAAAACAATGAAACGCGATGACTTTTCATACTAAAGACACTAATGTGGAAGATTTGATTTTGTTAGGCGTCCCTTGTATTTCAATTTTAATTTAATAACTTGTTATAAAAACGTATTCAGTTAAAGCCAGATAAAGACGAAATGAAATGCGGAAAATGCAAGGCAATGAATGTGTACCAAAATTAGCAACCGCCATCTAAACGACAACTGACCTAAATCTCTTTTTAATTCTGAACTTGCCGGAATTCAAGCTTCGAGTTTGGCGCGATGCCAAAGAAAACAAATCTCCCTTTAATAGAAAATTTTAAATCAAACCTTTTAATTGTCTTGTCTGTACATAGATAGACTTTGTCACTCAATAGTGTTTGGCGCTAAGTTCTTTACCGTGAAATTTTACTATCGTAATATTTCTATACAAAACATATTCTTGGCTCTTGGTTTTATGAGAAAAATTTGAGCGTTCACAATATTTTTAATACAATTGTTTTGAGATTGGAAACCTACTGTTCCTGCATATTACTTGACCCGAGGATTTTTTTCTGAATTAATGTTTTTCATGTCCTGATTTGTACTGAAAATTTATACGCAAAATTTCATGATCTGTTAAGTCGTTAAAGCGAGAAAGCGTAACGAAGGTACTTACATTCGCATTTATAATGTTAAATTAATAAACTTAGTGATTTTCATTTTCACACATATAAAATTAAAGTACCAAAAATCTTGTAACATCCATAAACAGTTTGTCACTTATCACTTATCACATAACAAAGAAAATACAAAAATGTAACTAAAAATTGTACAAGAAAAGCACATTTAATACTTTACATATATTTTTACGATACGTCTCTAAATTGCCAATAAAAAAATCGAACTACGATGAAAGAGCATGTATGATTTTTTACAAAATCGTAAACGCGATAAAAATGATAAGGTGATAAAGATAAGAGAAGATGTTTATTTTCACAACGTCACTGTGAACATTTAGTCCAATTTGTTCCATGAATCATCTCAGTGGGTTAATTTAGAGATTCAACAAGCCTGGCAGATTACGAACAAGAACTCTTTGATTTAATAAATGAGACACTATAAAATGTACGATCTACAATTAGTAAAGATTTTAATTAATAAAATACTTCTATACAAACATCATTTGTTTGTAAACATAATGATAACCTTTACTTAATCCTAACAAGTACACAACATATGTAAATAAATACCATTGTATACGCCAATCTAGTAAATCGCCCAAACAATATCTTTTATCAATAAAATATTGCAAATATGCGTTGTGTTCATATGAAATTTAATAATAGAATAGTTTTCAATACTGTTAAAATTGTTTTCACATCGGTTTTGGGCATATCTCTTTTAACTTTCAATAAATCATTGTCTCTTAAGAGTGAAAGAATCATTTAGTAACCTATCTTGCTAAATGTGACCATGAGAAATTAAAAATATTACCTACATCTTATACTCCATGTGTTATCTAATGCAATCTACGTATTTCTATGAATGTTTCGTCAGTACGCAAACTTTGTTGTTGGCGCTTCAGTGAACAAGTGGGTTTCATTGTTTTAAACTTATAACCAAAATAACTGGACGCCCCTTTCTCTTTAATAAGAAATTTTACCTTTATCCGTAAAAGCGCTAAGTGTTAGTTATTAAAGTTATTGTTAATCAAATGTTACTAAAACGCATAGTCTGAAATTTAGAATTTACTGTTTTATAGATACGTAGGTTAATTGCAATTTTTTTATGAGACAAAGACTTTGAGGAGTGTGTAAAAAATGCACACAAATGATACATTAAAAACCTATACACAACACTTTTTTCCTATGTATTTTTCTATACAATATTTACAAATTAAATGGCCATAGTTAATTAGCATTTTTGGGTACTTAACATATAAGTTTTTAAGAATTTAGAATACTTACTAGTAATTAATCGTAAGCCACATATTCCCACACTCACTATATCTAAAAAATCACTAATAGAACAGATCACACTATATTGGGTACGACTAGTTTCGCATAAGGGCGCGTACACACCAAGCGATGTGCACGTGTGCTAGCTACACGCTCGGGGCTCACAGTGAGCGCGTTCCAGACGACCGCTCCTGCACTTGACTCATCGGACCTGCCCAGCGCCACAATGGGTTAAATAGAGCATCTAGTTCAGGACACGTTTTTCATACACATTACGTATTAATGTAATGGGAATTATGTAAATTCTTCATCCACTTTTCATCATTCTGCCATTGACTGTCGTTTATTCGTTAAGAAACTCCGTTAGGAAGTTTTAAATAAACAGTAATACTTACGGTCCTTAAAAAAGAGAACGTACCTTACAGGTCAACGCATCTGAAGATTCTCTGGTATTGCAGATGATTACTCTGTAGTTCCCGTTGCTCGTTTGTCTCTTTGTTTGGGAAAAAATTTACTATTGCCACTGTGTCTAACTGTGCCAGTCAGAACAGATTTGAATGATATCTAGTCGATTGTAGACCACCTTACGTATTACTTGATAATGGGATAAGGCCAATGAAATTATGATGATAATCCCGTCGTAGTCAAAAAGTTAAAAATATCTATGACCAAAAGTTATATAATTCGCCCATAAAACATAAAATAATCTAAAGAACAAGTGCGGTCGATTTCCGATAGGTAATGACGTAAGTGCATATTCAAAGACAGGAATAGACTACTGTTATATTGATAATAGTGCTACCAAAATGTTTAGTTCAAAAGTTAATGAATTAAAAGAAATGCCGCTATTTTCCGTTCCAATTCTCATCGCTTCCTTCACCATTGTGTAAAGGACTTGTATTAATTGTCACTATCAGCGCCTATTTGTGACGTCACCGAGGGGGGGGACATTGTGCGTGTCTGCGGGCGTGACAATAGCTTCCGCTAAGGTCATTGTCGTGCGGCTTCCACATTGCTGTACTTAGTTTGGCGCCTGTTAAGTACCATCACACTTAAGTATCCTAGAGCGTTTCAACACTTTGACGTTTTAATGTTAAATGCTCGCACGTGACGGATTTATCAACAAATGGTATGAGTTACGGTCATCATCACCATCTTCCTCCTTATTCTACTCCCATAGAGTCAGCGCAACAGGTTTCTGTCCCCCACATAACTCTATCATACGTACATCACCGCCTTCTTGATCATGTCACCTTTCACGCAATCCATCCATCTCTTTTTCTTACTACGTCTACCAGTGTACCCCTCCACATTCATAACTAACGTCCATGTTATACGTCTCATCTAGTAGCCCTTATCCCTAACGGAGGGTCGGCACAGTATGTACTGCTCTTCCATACATCTCTGAATCCACTCCTTTCTTAAACATATCCTCTTTCACACAATCTATCCATACTTTCTTCGGTCTTCCTCTACCTTTGTAGCCATCCACGCTCAATCTTAACACTTTCTGGTTTATGTTCCCATCTTTTCGTCGCTTAACATGTCCATACCACGCTAACCTTTTGCTTCTCAATTTCTCTACCATGTTATACGTCTATTATTTTTATTTGGTTAAAAATGATGATAGTAACTGGATATTGATAAATACAGTTGTTTATAAGTTAAACTTAACTGTCTCCCCTAATAAGGGATGAGTTTCACACTGACTAGATGATACCAGTCGAACGAGAACTGGTCATCGCAATTATATCAATCTAGTATTTGTCGATCTAACTGTTAGGTCTAGCTGCTGCACACAACAACCATAATCACCTTAGATACCCGGATATTGATGTGAAAAAAATAGTTTTAAATAAACGATACTTTAAAACTTTTTTGACTTTGACAGATAGTATATGTTCACATTAAGCTACAAATATTTATTTGCTATTCGCTGATGTTCTCTTCTGCGTTTTAGAAGCATTCATCACAGAAGTTATCTCAGATGCAAGAGCAGTCATATTTTACGATTTGATTTGAGAAGACTTTAATGGTATGGGTAGTCTTGATGGGCGATCTACTTAGGCTTGTTTGTTCGGGAAAAACGGTCAACACCCCCAACATCTTGGCACAAAATGTAGATTTTCTGTCACTCTTGAAATAGCACTAAATAAGTGTCAATATATTCTGTTGTTTCCTACATTCTTGGCGTCTCAAAGTGTTTTAAAAACACTGTTCTTATAATAGCAAATAACGTTTATAGCGTATTTATTAGGTCAAGATCTTGGCAAAGCTTCCATCTGTTGATTTTCATTGACATGCTCTAATTACCTGAATTTTTACGTCAGACAACATAAATACAACATGCATGTTTTTGTATAAGTTTCGCCAGTGGAAACTGATTGTTGAAGACAACAGAGAAACAACATATGGTTTCTAAAGAGTGCACTAATCTTACAAAAGAATAGTAAGAAGTGTTGACTTTAATACTGTGTTTAATTTTAAATATATCACTTTTACATTTAAGAGTAATAACAGTAAATCATCAATCCTAACGCATATAATACAAAAATATAACGCCGGAAATAAGTAGAAAAACTTTAAAAAAAAAAAAAAAAAAAATTACATTAATTTTGAAAAAAAATTTAAAACTTCTAAAAGAGATCTGTAACATATATAAAATTTTATTTAGACATAACCGGTATAAAACGGGGAACATTTTGATACCTTGTTCGGATTTTTCGGACAAAAATTGACGCAAATTTGACAAGTTAGTCACTTACAAGATTCATTAAAACCACGTGTACACATAGTACCAGATCTTATAGCTCTGGAACCCTGGTAACAACTTTAACTTGAAGAGCAAGAAAGAAGAAGAAGAACGACACCTCAACCATAAAAATCGGACAAGGGAAACCGGAGTTATATTAAGTTAAAGTATAAAGTCACGTAAATTATCAAAGTTGATAAACTTGATAAAGTTGTCAAACATGTTGCGACTGTGATTGACTTGTAAACAAAGGGCGACGTAGCAGATAGTGTAAGTTTCAGACAATTTAGTACCTGACCAGATTTTCTAGTCATCTTAAAATTTTTCCTTGTTTATTATTTATGTCAATTTAAAGTTAGCTTATTATTATTATTAACTAATTGTAATTATCGAATATTTAAATTTAAATTTATATTACTATTTTTCTTTTCTCCTCTTTATATCTGGTCTAGTTCTAAGTTGCACATATTGACAGGGTCTTTTGCCCGCAATATTAGAATAAGTATTTCATGACAGGGTTTATTGACTGGGTTTATTGCCCACAATACTAGACGTAGGAATTATTAGGGTTTATTGACCGATTAAGTTTATTTAATCTAATTTTATTCTATTTTAATTTTTGACGTGTTCTCACAACATGATGGGTATTAGGACCCCAGTAAAGAAGGGCGGCGTTCAGAACCGGAAATCGGTAGATAGGACAGAATCAGAACAGATGGTTACACAACCATCACCTAATATTAACAATGAAA